GTTTTTGTTATATAATAATAATACGGTTGGCATAATCATACATACACATCCTTAGATAATATCTATGTTTGCAATATTGAACTAACTGAACTAATAGTTATGTACCAAAAATTAACGCATCGTTAAGTTAGTCCACGGATGTTGTAAATAATAATACTGTAACCTTTAATTAGTGAAAAACAATTATGTAGATAATTTTGTTTTCATTTATTTTTCTTGGGTATCAAAATAATAATATTTTGTATACTTAGGTTTCTCGTCATTATTTTCGTACGTACTGTATCTCATAGTTTTGCACGCTAAAATAACTATTTAATTGTTCATTATGACAGAAAAAAGATTGAATTTTTTCGATTTTTAGTTCGAAGAAAAAAAAACATTAATTACTTACATAATTAAGTATCTCCACAATTCATAAAACTCTAATTTTGGTTGACCTCTGGCTTTTTTAATACTCTATTAGTTTAAAAATTATATTTTATTGCTTAACAATTTTATAGTTACCCGATATTAAAGTTTTTTTGTTTTTCATTTTTTTGTGTACTTTTTTTTAAACTTTTAATAAAACAACTGATTTATTATCAATTTCCAAGCCTCTCCCCCCATTGAAAAATCTTGAGTATGCCACTGCGCTGAAATAGTATTAGATACATTACTTTTCAATCGGTATTGTGAAGCGATAGGAATTTAGTATTAATGTATGCGAGATCGGATTTTTCGAATTTCAGTCCTTAATTTCCAAAAATTTGATTTTAAAATGTATATATATATATATATATATAATTGAATTAAATTGGAACAGGTCTGACTGACCTCGTGTACACTTTTAGAATCGGTTTTCAGAAATCGTATCGGTTCACTACATCGATCGGACTGATTGATGGGAAATAATTGATCTAAATTACTAAGCAGTGTACCAGTTTCCAATTCCCTCAATACTAGATGACGGGGTTTTAAAATATCGTCATTTTCAAGTTTTCTAATTTTTTTTTTTTTTTTTTTTTATATCATATATTTCTTGAAAAACTAAGTTGACAGTTGTATAACCATTGATCGATTTGGATTTTCATTAATATATTCTCGTTGAACTAGACTTTTAAAAAAAAAAATTTCTTCGCTGTTCGATAATACCAGTTATAAAATGTTGTTGTTCTACTTGAATTTACTAGTTGGCTTCGAAACAGATCTTCATCTATACTCTCTATTCGGTAAAAGACGGATATAAATTTTCAACAGATCAGCGTGATCCATCGTTTTTCTTTTCTATAAACGTTATAGCAAGTATGTACATTCGTGTAGGTAATAATTGATCAAATAGAATAATAATATACTAATAATAATAATAATAATAATAATAATAATATGACCCTTGGTAAATTTAACGGCTCGACAATTTGTATAGACGTTTTTTAAAAGTCGAATCCTAAAATAAACGAGCGTTAAAAGCGGTTAATATTCCCGATTCGATGATTCCAATCGAAATTCGGTTTTCCACGAACAGTGCCTATAATATAATCGAGTGCAAATTGATACTATAGGTACCTGGACAGGTGTAATATAGGCAATAGGCGACAGGATTGAATGTGACAAGTGGGTAGTGGGTAACGAGCGCTCGGCATTATTATAATAATATGTGCATGTGGGTGTATTGGTAGGTATTCTATACCCATTATGATTCATAATGCTTACCGGCTTATTCCGAAGGCGTTGCAGTTTATCCTGTGTATACGGGAGATTTTTTATTTATTTTTTTTCTGTATGAACTAATACATTTGAACAACTCCGTCGCGAAAATATAATATTACTCCGATCTAAATTAATTTAGAAAATTAAATTCGTAATTTTTAATCAAAATCATAGTAGGTATATAATGATAGGTGTGCGGGTATTACCTACGCAACAATATTTCTCCGCATACCGCGTATTACCGACAAACAATAATTATCATTTACAACAAATTATTATTATTTTAAATTATCACGTGGATTGTAAAAACATTTTATATTAGTATATTGTATTTTATATTACTCCTGTCGTGGCCCTGTATTATACCGTGGCGTTGAGTTCAAAATGAGTCCAAAATATGTAACTCGACAGTCGCATGGTGCCTATATTAGTAGAACAACTGTGACGGTAATAAAGTTTGATTGGCCCGTTTTTAGCGATATTCGTACGAGGCCGACAATGTGATTATTTTGTCAAAAATACAACACTGTCTATCTATCGTAACGGCTTAGTATATTCTTTGCTAAGTGTATTATGGTACACACCTCAGCTTAGTCCTGTACCTATTTATGATACACAACATATAACCGAATATTGCCGCGATCCGTTTATTATTCCCTCATTATTATCTATTTAATTTACATATTTTTACAACGACAATAATATCATACGGGATTTTTACCAATATTTCCGTTGTTTGTTAATCATATCTATGTTTGTTTGTTTTTCTCCTTGATATTATTGTCATTTTGTTTGTCGATACATGTTTGTGGGTACGTAGAATTTGTATAAAAAAAAAAAAAAATACATCTACGCGGTACGCTTAACGCTCGGCGTGGGTACAAACTGGTCAGACAGTGAAAGAGGAAACCGCCGTCGACGGTAAAAAGCCAAAATTGCGACGGTTTACGCTATACTCGCCTGTATAATAGGTATTCGTGATAAAAGCAATTTCGTTTCTAAATGGCGATTTTAAATTTATAATATTCTAATGACAATTTAACCGCGCGTTTTCGTACTGTATACGGCGTATTATATATGTATTAATATATTTTATTGTTACCGAAACCCTTTTCCGTATTATTATTGTATTTCGTCGCTTCGGTAACCGCGTAACGATAGTGACGGATCATTGTGTAGTAGTCTGTTATCGTCGAGTAGGTTACTGTCAGTTGTCTGTCTGTCCGTCCGAAATCGTTCGTTTTCAACAAAATCATAAACGCAATTGCGTTGGATATTAAAATATCATGTGTAATGTCATCTGTTCAGTCTGACAAACGATTTTAATTCATGCATAAAATCTGCGGGACGTAAAAAAAATCGGTATTCATTTAGAAAGGTTTTTTTTTCTCCGCCATAGTAATATTAAAATATTAAATATTACAATACTTCGTATTATATATTATATCCATCAGAAAGAAAGAAAAAATAGAGTCGCAACTATGTAGTTTTAATATTTTCGTTAACACGTGTTCGTAATATTATAAATTGTAATAAAACTATGACGTCGGCAATTATTTCGTTGGACAGTTGTACGCCGATCGAGAAATACAAATTAAAAAAAAATTCTGATTATTCTAGTGGTTTTTCTTTTTTTATTATGATCCAGTCATTGTATACGTGGATTTTAAGTAAATTCGATTTCTGTTTTTTTTCCCCAATAATTATGGTTTAAACTGATGATTATGATATTCTATAATATGTATCGTATTGCTGGTTTACAGTGGCATAATATTAGGAATTTGTTCTGAGGAGGAGATTGAGGATTGATCCTTCTAAAATCACGTTTCCTCACCACGCCAATACGGGGCGCGTAAATACTGAAATTACAAAAACTAACATGTTCACTGATTAAATTGGCCATTTTTCTTGGAATCTTAAGCCACGTTTTTTTGCCTGGTATGCGAAAACGTTTTAATTTGTTTTGCGAAAAATTATTATTTATTTATTCAGGTATTTAAGCGAATTGGTAAAGGTCTGATTACTTTTCCCGAAGAAAACAATGTATTTACTTTATGTTGTAGTTGCGGTGTGTTACTTCAGCAAATAGTGGGAGGCAAAAACTTTAGCGGATAATACATCCAAATTCGTAATAAAATTCATCTACGATGAAGTAATATGCAAACATGGGTGTTTTGAAATTGAAATTAATGACCAAGTCCGTAAGTTTATAAATAAATAATTTATAAATATTAACTAGTACACAGCAACAAGTGGCATCACCTTATCGTCCTCCTCGAACAATTTCTGGTTGGCTTCACTGGCTTGTAATACTGGTTTTTTTCAAAATAAAATTTCAGATGTATAAATTCATAGTATCATCACTAAAATTTCAATTTAGTAATTATTAATATTTATAAAATATGGTTTATAGGTTTAATGAGTTGTGTAATCAATTGTAATTATTTGTATAGGCAGGGTCATGACGGAGCAATTAAACGTGAATTCCCGGCTCGGCGAGCTTCGCGCTTGTACCAAACTCTGTACTATGCTCGGGTCGACACGTGAGTCACAAATGTCTACACCATTCCCACGGCGCGTGATTTGTCAAGCCACGAGCTTATCTAAGCCAATCCGAGCACCCTCAAAATTATTTTATTTAGCCGCAAAATTATTCAGTTCAAAATGACTAGTGTTCTAGATCAGACGCAAGTTGCTGCTTGCGCAGCCGCGTATTTTTTTTATGTCAAGCAGCGAGTATTTAAAAGAAAAATTAATGAAAAACCAAACAAAAAAAAAATGAAAGAAGATACCGGATGCATGTAACTTACAAAAGTCGTACTGGGTAAACTATACATTTTTTATATTTTCAAATATAATTAGATAAAGTACATATTTATTTATATCAGTGTTTATTTTTATAATATATATACAGTAGAATCCGCTTATTCGGGACACCGCATAATCCCCTGTTGGCGAATTACCCCTGTTTAACCGTATCAGGGCTTCGAATGTATTCGTTTAAGGCAATTTAACTTCGTTTATAGGGGACAAACCATCGGTTATAAGAGACAAAAATAAAAGCGTCAAACCTAAATTATCTACTTTCTTATCGAAACTGTAATTATCTAATCTTTATGGCTTTTTATATTTTATATACGTCCGTATATGTACAAATGTAATGTACGTTTATCTTCTACTACCACGATAAGAGTCAACTAGCCTACGTACAAAATCGAAAACCTTTAGTTCACGTTCTTTTATCTCTGTGTATTAACGTATGTGTGTTTATTAAAGTTTTTATTGGTCCCAGTTTGTGTTAATGCGTAACAATTATGTCTCGTAAAGATTTGACGTTGGTTGAAAAAATTTCCATTTTGGACAAAATTAAGGCTCAACCTCATAGTCTTCGTGAGTTAGAGAAATGAATAGGCACGTCTAAATCGGTACTAAGCCGATTGAAAAATAATGAAAAAGCTATTCGTGAACAATGGGAAAAATTAAACGACAGCAATAGTGCACCTATAAACAGAAAAAAAAGCGGGAAGGCAAAGATCCCGAAGTAGACAAAGCTATGAACGAATGGTTTTTGTGCTGTTACAGAACATGGTGTTCATATTTCGGGCCCCATGTTACAGCAGAAAGCTGAAATTTTTGTTGAAAAAANAAGGCTCAACCTCATAGTCTTCGTGAGTTAGAGAAATTAATAGGCACGTCTAAATCGGTACTAAGCCGATTGAAAAATAATGAAAAAGCTATTCGTGAACAATGGGAAAAATTAAACGGACAGCAATAGTGCACCTGTAAACAAAAAAAGAAAGCGGGAAGGCAAAGATCCCGAAGTAGACAAAGCTATGAACGAATGGTTTTCTGCTGTTACAGAACGTGGTGTTCGTATTTCGGGCCCCATGTTACAGCAGAAAGCTGAATATTTTGCTGAAAAAATTGGACATGGTAATTTTAAGGCCACAGAAGGTTGGATGAGTCGTTGGAAGGATCGGAATAATATTAAATTCAAACGATTTCACGGAGATAAATCAAGTGCTGATTCAAACGGAGCTGATGAATGGTCTTTAACTAAATTACCGGAAAGTTCTAAAATAAATATTTTACAAGCTATACAATTTGTCGCTGACAGCTGGAGAAAAGTGTCATCTGTTACGATTCAGCATTGTTTTGCACATTGCGGTTTCAGAACACTCATTGATCTACCTATTCCTTCTTTTGTTTCTATTGAAAATAATGTAGCACAATGCGTAGGATGGGAAGTTATTTTTAAAAATTGATGATGGTGTGCAGTGCTTGAGAATGAAAATGAGAATTACGGTAATATTCTTGACGAAATTGCTGAGAGAAGTCTGCAAAATGAAGAAAGTGATGAAAATGACGACGTTCAACCCGTCAAAATTACAACAAGAGAATCAGAAAAGTGCATTGATCAGCTGAGTCTATATTTCATGCGAAATAGANTAGGAAATGGGGAGTTATTTTTAAAAATTGATGATGGTGTGCAGTGCTTCAATGAAAATGAGAATTACGATAATATTCTTGACGAAATTGCTGAGAGAAGTCTGTAAAATGAAGAAAGTGATGAAAATAACGACGTTCAACCCGTCAAAATTACAACAAGAGAAGCAGAAAAGTGCATTGATCAGCTGAGACTATATTTCATGTAAAATGGAAACGAAAATGTCCCAACAACTTCACTAGATGTTTGTGCAGATTTTATCAATAAAGAAAGTCTTGATAAATTACAGCAAAGAAGAATGAACGATTTTCTGCAGCCTAATAAAATATGAATTAAGTATGTACATAATGTATTAAATAAATTTACGATATAATTATACTAAATAGTAAATATAATGTACAACTGCTAATAATAATAATAATAATAATATGTAATTTTTAAATAAAGTATGAATCAAGTATGTATATATTTTTTAAATAAAGTTTTTTAGTTTTTTTAAAGTTGTTTTTTTCGTCAGTTCGGCTAATCGGGGCAGTCGGATAATGGGGACAAATAGTTTAGGATAATGGGGACAAATAGGTTACCGCCCGATGTGTCCCCATTAAGCGGATTCTACTGTATATATATAGAGATAATTTTACAATTTTTATAGTGCCTCCCTTTTTAGTTTTTTAAATTTTCAATTTATATAAACGACATAAAAGTTTATAGTTGTACAGTTACTTGTACCTTATAAACAAGTGTTTTAACGTAAAGTTGAAGATTTTTTTTTTTTTATAGTCAATAAGATGAAATGAAAATCCTAACCGTAATCGAAATTAAAACGTGTACGAAATGCCGTTAAAATAATATTAAAAACTTCCTATGCGCAGGCCCGCCGGATCGCACGCCAGTGGCAACGCCGTTCAAATGCGCGGCTCGTTTACCCGGACACGGCCCGTCGACAATTTTCGGACAGCCCCACGAGCACGTCCGCGCCGTACCGAGCCTGGACGAGCGAGAGCGTTCCCGCGGCGCGTGTAGCGTACCGAGCCAGCACGTTTGGCGCGAAGATGGCCGAGCCGCGCGCCTTGGATGCCCGCCATAACATGTCTGGAAAATTCCGGGGTGTACAAGCACATATCAGATCCAAACATCCCAAAGCACCGTACATGCTCGCCGTGCAGTCCGCTCATCCCTGGAGGCACCACGCACAGCCCTCTGAGAAAAAAAAATAATCGTTTTATTCTGCGTTTTGATACTAAACGCTGTGAACAAATTTATTACGAAAACAGAATTTGTAAAATACAAATTATTTATGGGGAGTAGACAAGAGTGGATGAATTCCGAACGTACCTATATGTGTGACGTCGTTGTGCCGGCCGTTCCGCGCGGCATCGGCACCCGAACGTAGGTACCACCGACAATATTAATATCGTCCACCGCCGATTGTATTAAATAATATATTTTGATTTCCAAATTTATTTTGATTGTTTATAAATTTTAAAAATAACTCTATTCATAAATACTCATGAATAATAACCGACATTTGCTGTTTGCAAATAATGCATTATTATACCTCGGCGGTTGTTGAACTTTCAGTGCACGCAGACCTCTGACGAAATACTTTTAGAAATCGCGGACCCCCTACCAATTTTCTTTCCAATACCTTTTTTTTTTTTTATAAAACATCTCATGTTATCACAATCAATATTTACCGAATGAAGCCGCCGCGGACCCCTGACCCGAATACCGTGGACCCCCGCGGGGCCACGAACCACAGTTTAAGAACCACTGTTATACCTAATATAAGGTTTCAATAACACATTTTGCGTGGCGCACCAGTTTGTCGTGTAATATTTTTTTCCATGTGTCTGTACAATATGATGTTATGTACGTTGTATCGTACATTTTACTTTAAATGTTTGGTACGTATATAATACAGTTTGCATTAGATTGTAGTGTATTTGGTTGTAGTAACAATAGAAGAACGCATCGATTTTTGAAATTATTATATTATTTTTATTACTCTAATTCGCAATATTTTTAGTAATCGCAGCTTAGCCAAGCCGGTAATTTTTTGTGAATTTTTGAATCCTATGACGTATATTCCATTTGATTCTGGGTATTCTTCTCTTATTTTGTTTACAATACTCTCAGGCACAACCACACGATTTTCTTTTCCCATAGCAACCCAAGAATTGACTCAAGACGTATACAAGACGTATAACAAATAAATCGCCATTTTTTAATTTCTGGATGATGTTTAACCCGTTTTTTTTTTTTTTAGTTTTTAGTATTAAATTATGTCTAGTGATGTTCAGTATTTCCTTATCTATTATTAATTAGTTTCAAAATCGATTGTTGTAAAGTAATACTTTACCCTTCTTGTTATCGTATTTTTTCTAAATTTAGCAACTCATTATAGCATAAGCACTTGATATCACTAAGCATGCCTTTACAGTATCCACAAGAACACCAATTGAAATTATTTACCTCTACCTTCAGCGTCAGAATCAAAATTGAATGGTATTAGGAAGACGCTACACCCGCATGTGCTGTCTCACTCCAACTAACAGGTGATATAGCAAAATCTGCACAATTAATCCATAAACTCATTATAAATCACATAAATAAATTTCACTTTTAAAATTGATTTTTAAAAATCGTGGCTTTAAATATTATATCAATTGCATCACTTATTAGTGATAATTGGTAACAAGGAGACTTAAATTAAATTTTTGTTTTAAAAAATATTGCGCTTTTACACGCCACAGGAACTTAAATACAATTATAATATTATACCTATTTATTAATAAAAAAATAGACTCTGAGAGGGGATCTATTTCCCATTATTTCTCCCTCCCCCTGTTGTTACGCCACTGCTGGTTTAGTTGCTGATTATGTTTCATCATTATAAATCATGCACAATTTTTTAAAAACAAAATTTAAAGCATTTGACTGTGTAACGATCAAACAATTTTGTCGATCTGTTTCCATTTCGTATCAACATTCAGATTATACAAATATCCTACTCATGTGGTTTGAATTTTAAACCTTTATTACTCATAAATGGTAAGTCAAATATTAAAATAGCATGTATATAAACATTTTAAGAAAAGTATTCTTTTTTCGAATCTATGTAATTTGACAATTATTATTAAATAAAATACAATTTTTAGTTTTTAATTATTAAAGGTTGATCTGTGCACGGTGTACGGAATAATGGTAGGTGTAATTTTGAAAATATTGCAAATGAAATTGTTCAATGATTTTATACGTACCTATAATAATTTCTTAAAAAAACCCAAAATAAATTTTATTACATTTTCGTAAGATAATATTGGATCGTGATAAAAAAAAAAAAACACCCTGTGTATAACGATATCATTTTTGAAAAACGAAACGTAAAACACCGTTTATAATAATACCATTAATATAAGTAAAAAATTAGTATTTTTCTCGTTATTTTAAGTATAGACGTTTAAATCGTTTTTGCATTCGGTGTTGTTTGAATGTTTTATTTTAACTTTTCTGTGTATCGGTTAGCGAACCGTGTATTTTCAGTTCTTACACTTATTCTCATATAGTAATTCTGACATTATAAATTAGTATATACCTAGGTAATCGGTTTACAGGTATTTACGAATACGCGTAATAGAAAAAGAGTTATTAAAATTTATTAAAAAAAACAATAATAATAATGATAAATATTATTATGTAGCGATGGTATAGAAATAATAGTTAATCAAATATTTTTCACTGATTTATAAATCGTAATTACATATACCTATAGGTTCGTATACTATTAGGATATAATAGTATACCGAAAACGATTGTATAGAAACGTTTAGTAAATGTTTTAAATTCTTTGTATAGCTATGCTAAAAATATAATGTTAGTCTGAAAAATAGATCCGAAGAAAAAAAATTGTGGGTAGAGGAGGAATAAATCGATTATAATCAACAATATTTGTTCTCGTATCAAAACAATATTTTGTATTGTTTGGTATTAGATTTTGAGCGCAGCGGCGAACAAACTATTATATTATAGTTACACTATTAAAATAAATGTGCGTTTTTATTTTGTCGGAGATTTATTTTTCGGTTAGGCAGTAAAATTATTCCGATTTTTTCATACCGTGGCTATACGTGTATAGTCCGTACTTTAAAAGTATAGTAAAGTAGTATACTTTATTTGAAACATTTTTTGTTGCAATTGTTCTCGATACTCTATCAAAAAAATTTTTCAAAAATCCCGACAACAAATTACAGTATTTGATTTTGCCAATTTTCAGTACCACAGGAGGAAAACTCGTGACCTTACCAAACACCATTTAACAAAGCTCCAGTGTTCTAAAGTATTCGAATACTGTTTCAAATATTTTCCGAACAAATATTCAAATTCGTATACCTTATTCTGAATAGTTATGTATTCACTAAAAAAATCATTTTATGCTGATTTTATTTTCAATCGAAGTGTAATTCTTTATAATACCGCCGACCTCCGATCAGAATCGGTTTTTAATTGCAATGGTTTATCGTTTCTTTCAGTTTAGTACCATTTAAACGACCCTATACATCACATACCTGTTACCTATATGTATATGGAGCAAAGTACGTCCGGCTTTTATTTTATAATAGAAATAAATCTTCCCACTGAAGCGACAACGATTTTCGTTTATTGAATACACCAAAATATACCTGAATGCGTCATCATGTAGAACAGCACGTCATAATATTTTACATAGTACAGCAATTCAATTCTACACGACCACACCTTGTGAACTATTGTAATGATATATTAGGTAATAAGTAATGTATTATTCAATATTTTATTTGAAGCAACTCTCCGTGTTTAGTATTATCAATATGCATGTATTAATAATCCAAATTTACGGATGACAGTTTAAAATGTAAACCTAACCGCCCGCACGAATGGTAAAAAACAAAAAAACACTCGGAGAGCAGAGCTCCGTCACTCATTGTTGAATCCGACGATTTTTCCGGGGGGAGAGGGCATTAACAATTATAGTAATGACCTTTTTTTTTTTGCTTATCCACCCTCTTATTCAAATGTGTTTTATTTTTAAATTCATTTATTCGCGTTTACCACAGAGGGGGGGGGAGATGAAAATCTTATGCCTGGATTCAACACTGCCGTCACTATAGAGTCGAATTTTCCCCAGGCCGACTTGTTACCGTTACAATATTTCATGTTTTTATTTTTTATTTAGTGACAATAAAGTGAATAAAGATTAGGTTATGATTTCGCTATCATACAAACAGACGGTTGGATCGGGGGTTCAATCCTTCTAAAGGCATATCGTCGACAACAATAAATATTCTATTTATGTATACACATTTTAACCATGTTAATTAGTTTCATGAGTCCGTGAGAGTGTCTAAAATCCGATATTTCCTG